GGTCCCACTACAGCTATAGATCTCTAGTCTTAAAAACCTCCCTCAGATTATTCCACAACATGTGGAAACTACAGATTTTCACCTCATTTAGCATGCTCCATGTGCTCCACTTTTTCACTCCTCTCTCCCCTCTCCATCCAGATCATTCCCACCACCTGGACCAGCCTGTGGATGGATTAGTTCTCCCCAAAATGTTGCTTCTACTACTTCTAGCTTCTGCAACTGCTAATTTTATTTTGGTGCTCTGCAGCTTCAGTTACTACTAGCTTCACTATACAAAATTTTTCAGTTTGCAAATATTGTCTGTCAACAGCTTTAATTACTTTAAACTTGTTGGTGAACAAGTACAGCCATAATGTACAGTATATTTCATAGTATTCTGCAAAAAGTCTTCACCATTTGGTGTTTGCTCAGCAGTCACTGAATTTACTGAAGTTCTGTACAGCACCTATCCACCTGTGTTTGCTTCTTCCCAGCACTACTGGTACTGCAGGGGCCTGGCAGTGCTGTTAAAGGGCCAATGCACCTAATCAGGCCCCTGTTCAGCAATACCCATTGGGTGGCCCTAAGTGCATGGGCCACCAGATGGACCCCCTCAGTGTGTGGCCACCACACCAGCAGTAGCTCTGGTGCTTACGTCCTAGACAAGCTGCCAATTTCTTAATACACACTCAGAACAGAGGGAAAGCTTAGTGGAGATTACCTGCAGATATCAAGATTACTAATGTTATCGGTTTTAAACAAACACTGTTTTATTATCTCTAGACTGGACCTATGTGTCTCTGTCAACACCTGTCAGTCTGCATATAGAGAGCATACAGAGATAGGAGAAACAATAACATATTTCTTTTGGTTCACAAAGGATGCAATCTATACCTCCTTAGTTGTGCCATAACTGAACTGGATTGTAATCAGGGACACAGTCATACTTGTAGCTTGATATCCTTTCAAATTCTCAGCACACATACAGCAAATTACTACAGACATTTTACCCAAATCAGTTGTTACCCAACTTTACACCAATAACATTTTGTCTTTTTTAAAACTAACTACAATATAATCACATTGTATTTACTAAATGCCAATGCCCAGTTATACCCTACCAAGATACAACAGGATATATCCCCATTTAAAATTGAAAAAAATATCACTTTTAGGCTTCATTGTTACATGTATTGGTATTCTTGCATTGTAGATATAATTTAACTGCTAATAATTTGTATTGCAGTAGATATTCACATTTAATAATTGTCTTTTTAGCTTTTTTTGAAATTGTTTAGTAAATGTAGTGCTGTGATATTTTGTATTGCAAAATGGACAGGGGCTGAACCCCCCTCTCCTTCTTAAAAGGGTTTCTGTTTAATTCCGCAGCAAACAGTCACAGAAACAGTCAGGATGGCAACATTACCCAGACCATCCACAGCAGGAGGCAGTGGCGAAAACGGCAGAGTGGTGAGCCATGACTTCCCGAAATCCATGCAGACAATTCCATGTATGAGCCACAGTGCAGGGATGGCACTGGGAGCAACTGGATTATAATACCAGCAGACTTCACACTGCTAAGTGAATCAATGAATATTCCCCCTTCCAGTGCCAAAAACTACAAATGACATTAACATATGGAACTTTGCAGCAACTCAAAGATCTATTTTTGTCTTTTTTTTCTTTTCTTTTTCTTTTTTTTGTCATTTTTGCCTCCAGCGACAAAATTATATGTCAGTAATTGCAATAAAGAGCTGATATTGGGAAGAAAGGAGATCCTACCCTGTGGGCTGGACAATTGAATGTTAACAATAGACTCTGATCCCACAATTTTTCAGCTCATCAATTCTTAGTATATTCAATTGTTAGGGGTATATTTTTGTCCAATTTCTTTGGAACACTTTTTTTTTCTTTTACCGTTTTTCCTGTAATAACTATCAAATAAATGCGAGCATACGCATACAAACAAAAAACAAAGCTGAAGACATTTCTGACATCTAAAAAATTCTGAACGACAACCTAGATTCACAGGGATTTGTTCATCTTTCTAGATTGGAGATACAAAATGAAAAATATGACATGGCAAATTATAAAAATTCTGCATTTAACAAGACATAGGCAAGTAAGCAAAAAATATTTTAAACATAAAGTTAAAAAATACAAAACATTCACAGCTCATTGCTCATTACAATCATGTTCAAATGATGGACAGTAGATAAGGTGATATGAGAGATGATACAAGTAGGCCTGAATCTACCAACCAGGAAAAAAGAGACTATGTTAAAAAGAAATGTGAACAGATCAAATCAAAAGGTGAAGAACAAATATTAAACACCCAAAACGTTTTTTTTTTAAAGTTAAGAACATTGCTTATAAGCCATGAGGGTGCTATTTTGGCTTTGAGTCACCTTAATAATGACGAACAACCTGTGGGACTTACATCAAGATAAAAGCTGCTTAGGATTGCTTGATGAGGTAGATAAAAAAAAATCTACATATTTGGAAGTCTCTCCATTTTCTTAACTGCATTTGACATTCTTGTGACATCTAGAACATGTTTGGAGCTACAAAGCTATAAAATGGATGAGAGAATACTAGTGCAGACTCCGTATGTTCACAACAGCAAAGTCCACTATAAATATGGGAATATTACCTACATGAAGAAACTACATCAACATGCTGGACAGTTGTACATGGAACTACTACTGATACTTTACCACGTGTGCTGATGTGTGGACATAGTAATATGAGAATTTGGACCAGCATTTAATGTCTTTCTTTCTTCAATCCCAGATCGATCCATGTTTTATTTTTTTTCAAGTCAACCCTTCGCAATGGAAGAACATTAATATCCCTGAAAAATGACCCGTTGGGACGTTAATGTTTTTTGATTTTTTTTTTTTAATTTTGTTTATGAGTATTTAAGTTCCTGTTCAAATATATGGGGCTTGTGATTAAGACAGATGTTTTGCTTGTTTTTTTTTTTTTTTTTCTTTTGAACCTCTGCAAACGTCTATGTAGCCAACTTGAAGTGGAAACAAATCCTTTCTATGAATTCCTCAATGATTTGGGGGAAATTTCCAGCCATTTTACTCAAGGAGACACAACTTGCTTCCTTGGGAACTGAACTTTAACATGTGATGTGTGAAAAAAATCTGTCTTGAAAAAACAATAGGGTTTTTATTTGTCAGTGACATTTAAATTGGCTTCTGAGTGTGAGACAGGATAAAGCAAAACAGCACTGGAGATTTTGAGCGTTTACTTGTAATTTGTATTTTTACTACTCTTTCTTAAAAACAGCGGTGTGGAGGCAAGTTCGGGTTTTTACCCCAGACATGGACTCTGCATTTAACCCCTTCAGGCAATTCATTCCATTTTTCCTCTTTGATACCTGGATACTTTCTTCAAAAGGCTGTATTTGTTAAACTCTGATGTCAAAAAGTGCTAAGGAGAGAACACATTTGGTCAAACAGAAGCATATTTTAGTTTGTTTTACAGTTGTGTTGATGGGGAGGTGGTAACTCTCTACAGCATCTATTTGCTTCTTGCGTATTTCCTTTGTTTTATTTTTTTCTTTGAATTAATATAAAATGGACGTGTTCTCTTTCATTAACAAGGTGAATAGTAGCTTCTATATTCAACTGTTTCTTACGTGATGGAGTTGAAATTCTGTGTTGGTATGTTTCTGGTTGCAAAACATGTGGGTTCTCGTGTTACTACCTATGATAAACGACCCGTTTTGCAACAAATAGATTCAAAAGACAAAAAACACCCACAGTGGAGGAAAGTAGTTATAAGAGCTAGTACTCGTTTGCAGGGAAATGCATGTGTTCATGATGTAAAGCAACACTTGCACCAAAACAACTTTAAACAACAAATCTAAATAATGAATGACAAGGTTAGCCAACAGGCACTACTCCAATACAGTACTACAGCCTGTTATAAGAAAACATCCAGAATTAGTGTACAAGACAGTAATATAACTCACATATCAATGTGCACATATGAAAACATTTATAAAATTGTACCGTATAACATAAAGGAACATATGCTATATTGATTGCAATAAGTAGCTATAAGAATATTGAATATAATGTAAAAGAGTACAAACGAAAATCCAGGGAAATAAAATTGGTATTGGATATAAAAATAGGTATAGTCTTAAAAAGGAAATGCAGCCATGAAATGTAATTTACTTATCAAAACATTGGTAAAATAACTATACTGAAAATATTTCAATAAGAATTCCTACATATGTGTCATAAAATAACAATATGTCAAATTAAATCAGACCATTTTAGAGATTATTTCAATACAGTGTGTTGAATGAAAACACTTATTCCAGATTAGCCACAATTCTTTTTTTAAATTGCTTATTCACTAAATACTAAACTGTAGTATGCTAAAAAAGCAAAACTGTGAGTATAGCTCAAGATTTTAGTTATAGCTAAGCTTTATTTTACTAATTTTCCAGTCACTACCATTCAGTATTTAAAGTATAAACCCCATGCCATTGAGGAACTTTGGGAACACCATAGTTTGCAGCTCACAAGCATGATGTCAATAACAAGAGTTATGACATCACCTAAAACAGGTGTTTGATCGTGGAAGGGCACAAACGTCTGAGAGCCAATCACAGCTTATTCACAACCAAGTGTCATTCATATAACATATCTACGCTGTAATTCCTGCTGGTGTGGAGAAGATCCATAAGAGTGTAGCACCTATAAAGCTGTTTCTGTTTGATTGATTTTATATGTTGTGAATACGTTAGAATAGATACACGACTTAAAGGTAGGCAGACGATGTAATAGAGCAGCAGGAAATGCTAGCAGAATGCTTGGTTGTATAGGGAGAGGTATTAGCAGTAGAAAGAGGGAAGTGCTCATGCCATTGTACAGAACACTGGTGAGACCTCACTTGGAGTATTGTACACAGTACTGGAGACCGTATCTTCAGAAGGATATTGATACCTTAGAGAGGGTTCAGAGAAGGGCTACTAAACTGGTTCATGGATTGCGGGATAAAACTTACCAGGAAAGGTTAAAGGATCTTAACATGTATAGCTTGGAGGAAAGACGAGACAGGGGGGATATGATAGAAACATTTAAATATATAAAGGGAATCAACACAGTAAAGGAGGAGACTATATTTAAAAGAAGAAAAACTACCACAACAAGAGCACATAGTCTTAAATTAGAGGGACAAAGGTTTAAAAATAATATCAGGAAGTATTACTTTACTGAGAGGGTAGTGGATGCATGGGATAGCCTTCCAGCTGAAGTGGTAGAGGTTGACACAGTAAAGGAGTTTAAGCATGCGTGGGATAGGCATAAGGCTATCCTAACTATAAGATAAGGCTATGGACTAATGAAAGTATTTAGAAAATTGAGCAGACTAGATGGGCCGAATGGTTCTTATCTGCCGTCACATTCTATGTTTCTATGTTTCTACATAGATACATAGGTTCAAAGTCTTTCACATATCATGTCATTAATGTTTTTGATCCCCAAAGAAAGGCAAAGTACCCAATTCAAAGCCAATTTCCAATTTTGCCATAAATTGGCTGCTAAAAACGCCTTTATTCGTTGGGAAAATTGTATTGCATTTGTAAAACTTGATGCAGTTACTGAAAACCATCCACAACCTACGGTGAGGTTTCTAGAAAAGGTTGATTTTCATATTTACTATTATCTTTGTTTGGCACCACCATGTTCTGGGCATGGGATATTTAATAAGCACTTTACCACATTACATTTACAGATATAATAAGAGTGGATTACCATGCTTATGAGCTTACTACATATGCTGTCAGTGTTATTGTATGAATGGACTTATCATAACTTGCTGGTGAATTTACATCCTTAAGAATTAATGGAAATAGCTGAACTGGAGTGAAAAATGGCTACAAAATGTCACATGAATTTGGACAATGTAAAAGTGTTTACAGCCTTCAGGTAGGTGATCATGAGGGAGAGATGCTATAAAGCCATCATTAAACAGAAGTGCAGACTGAATTTAAATGGAAATGGTTTCTTTTCTAATAAGGACTGTTCCATGTACCTTCTCAGTAAACACTGCTGGGACTGTTGCCTGTACCTCCTCCTCAGTAAACACTATTAGGATTGTTCCCTGTACCTCATCCTTAGTAAACACTACTGGGGCTGTTCCCTGTACCTTCTCCTCAGTAAACACTACTGGGACTGTTCCCTGTACCTTCTCCTCAGTAAACACTACTGAAACTGTTCCCTGTACCTTCTCCTCATTGGGACTGTTCCCTGTACCTTCTCCTCAGTAAACACTACTGAGACTGTTCCCTGTACCTTCTCCTCATTGGGACTGTTCCCTGTACCTCATCCTTAGTAAACACTGCTGGGGCTGTCCCCTGTATCTCATTCTTAGTAAACACTGCTGGGACTGTTCCTTGTACCTCATCCTTAGTAAACACTGCTGGGACTGTTCCCTGTACCTTCTCATCAGTAAACACTACTGGGACTGTTCCCTGTACCTCATCCTTAGTAAACACTACTGAGGCTGTTTCCTGTACCTTCTCAGTAAACACTGCTGTCCCCTGTACCTCCTCCTCAGTAAACACTATTGGGACTGTTCCCTATACCTTCTTCTCAGTAAACACTATTGGGACTGTTCCCTGTACCACCTTCTCAGTAAACATTATAGAAGTGTTAGAAGCGCAGCTAAGGTAAGTAAAAAACATATGTACCACTTTTGCCATACACATGAGATGTGTGTTTGGTAGAGTAAATGCCAATTTTTGTTTATTGTACAGTAATTCATTGTACATCATATTATTCTATTTTAAAGCTTTTGCATTTCACTGTGAACTGTTATTGATCATATCAGTGTGTGTGAAAGAGTTGTGGTTTGCACACTATTCATACTATGTTTCACCATTCTATGTTGTAGTGATTTTTTTTGTTGTTCAGATGGTGATTGACTTGGTTCCCAGCATTGGCGGCCTGATGAATGTGTCATATTGGGCACTAGGCTAAACCACTGTAATTTAATCCTGCCCCTCTCTATAAAATTTGGCCCTAATCTTTTGGACTTTGCCCACCTAATGAGATACTATTGGCACCAAAACAACTTCAGCTTTAAGGGACACTATATGAATCTAAACAATTTAGCTGAATGAAGCAGTTATAGTGTGTAGATTATGCTCATGCAGTTTTACTGCTCAATTATTTTCCATTTAGAAGTTAATTTACTTTGGTCTTATTTATGCAGCCCTAGCCACACCTTCCTTGGTTGTAACTCACACAGCCTGCATTAAAAAAAAATTCAATCAGACCTTAACTTACTTTTTTAAGTTTTTATCTCCTGCTCTTTAAATTGAACTTATGTCTTACAATAAAATGTTCAAGTACATTATATTACTCAAGACACATAGCCAGTTGAAGGCTGGCTAGGTTCATGGGAACTGTAGCTAGCAAGAACTTTAATGCTAAAGGTAAGACATTACTATTTGAGAACACTACTTAACAGTTTAGTTCAATTTCTATGTTATATTTGCAGCATTTTAGACGAACCTACCTGACTGTTGTATAGTTCCTGCCTGGATGAGACCACAGTAGAGAACTTTCAGCAGGTGGAAAAGGGAGGGACTTAAAGCACAGAGCCAGGGGAGCTTTTTTGAGAGTGCAGGGAAGAAAGTAAAGCATGGAGCTGCAGGAAAGCTGGCAGACATTGTCTCTTCACCTTTCACACTGTTCAGCAGAATTACCAGTCTTAAACAAAACAGAAGACATGAAGTTAAAATGTTGGCTGTATTCTGAAAAGTTGAGTTCTGCCAACTCTATCCACTGGTGCTTGCTGCCTATGACAGCCATTAAGGTTGCCGTTTTTTCAAGACAGCATATTTACTGCCCAAAAAGGAGACATTGGGAAGAACCGGTGGCTGTAAGACAGCCAATAAGGGTTCTCATAGGATTTAATCACATATTTGGGCAAACAACCATAAACATGGTTGTTGTTGTTTTTTTTCTCTCACAGCAATACAGGGGCATAATAAAGGGGGAGAGGAGGAAACGAAGTACTAATAATTAAAAGGACAAAAACAAACATTTGATTAAAGACACATCTCAAAGTTGTAAGTTTACACACAAAAAAAGTTTAAAACTCCAACAGAAAACCAAAAACAATTATACACTTTAATTAATTTTTTTTTTTATTGCAGCAAAAACCTGTACACTGCTTCAGCTGCCCCTATGGGTGAGACTTTATTGGTGCCAGGATGATTGTATACAAAATCGTATGCAATTTATTTATTTGTTTATTTATTTATTTATTTTATTTTGCATTGTTTTAAATTACAATCTGTATTTAACCAAATACTGGCATACATGTGTATTTTAACAAGAGCTGGAAACGTAAGCACATGCCGGCTAACCTCCTTTCCACGTATTGTGCTATAATAATCGCAAGCATGCATAAAGGTCACAAAATAAACATGGTTTGTTATCGACTTTGCTCTTTTAAAGTATGAGGATGATGGAAATATAGGAAGACGGAGAATAAAAGAATGACGATTAAAACAGAAGAACTCTGGACATACAGGAATTAAGTCTGGAATAAAGGATAATTAAAAGGGAATTTTGGAAATAACTGTAAAAAAGCAAAATTTTGAATGAGAGGTACAGTAATCTGAAAGCATTGAGAATGAAGGCTGGAAATGGGGGGCAATGTTGGAATTGTGCAGGGAAGCTAGAAATCTGGATGAAGAGGCTATAAATATATAGGGAAAGGCTTGACAAATTCTGGGGCTGTGTGACAGGAAAATGGGGTAGGGGCTATAAATATTAATGGGGCAGCAGGTGAGATTAGTAGTATAGGGGCTTTCGGTAAGTGTTGAAAAAATAGGATACATCTATGCACATCTACATAGAACAATAACTTTAATAGTACATATATAATTTATATAGCCCAATAATGCAGTGAAAATCTTTTTACTGTTCAATATTTATGCTGGCAATTTTTATAGAGAGTCAAAAGTTATATACTCCTAATCATGATGTACTTTGTAGATCTATACTTACATTATAAACTCTGCAAAATGCAGCTTTGCTAAGTAAACAGAACATTTATTCTAAAGCAGTTCATCTAATAAAAATATTATCTTCAAACTTGAAGGCACATTTTTCAGTAAACAGCGAGTTGTGCTGTACTAGCGGCTAAGCTGAAGAATAACCTCCTACATATTGCAATGATTATATACACACTGTCCGTCTGGAATAATATTTAGCAATAACTTTGAGTCAGGCTTTCTTGTAGACTTTACTATATTCTTCAAAGGTTTTCATATGAAAGTACTTTTAAGCTAGCTACAAACATGCATTTTTCAAATCTATCTAGCCTTTTAATTTATCTACGTACCAGTAAATCTCTCTGTCACTACCTATCTCTTTATCAGATTTGTTTTAAATATATTAACAACCTTCCTGGCTTTCCTGTTTTTCCAGGAGTAAGCTGCTTAATGTCAAAGAGCTTGCATATAGACACAGATACTGGTAATCGCATCATTAGGTCTTCATACAGGATTATTGGGATGCACACTACAGAGATCTGTGTAGGCCAATGCACAAAACCCTTGATGCTGATAGAATGAATTAATGGGTCCATATAGTTTAATAGCCTGGTGTAATACGCATGTTAGCTTTGTGTGTCAGGGATCTGGCTCACCCAAGCATACTGTCATCCTAGTGAACAATAACAATCTATGAATCTCCTTTCAATCCATGGAAAGCCAGAATACTACAGGATATCTCATCTGAAAAATGAAGCTACTCTAAAAATGTCCGCTTCTCACATGTGCCATATTCATTTCATTACAAGGTTAGCATACAAATGTATTTTATGGTATGTGATTATTATAATTTAATTCTAAAGAATGAGACTGTAGATACACCTGAATGAAAAGGTGCTTGCTCACGAGAGTTTGCAAAGGAGTATTTATACAAATCTACTATTTTGGTAGGAAAATAAACAGATACACATGGAACATCTACAAAAAAACGTGACCCTCTGAAAAAATTTAAGTAGTTATTACCATTGCAAATATGGTAGTGAGGGATGTGCATGGAAAAAAAGTTCAGTTTAGTTTAGTTTAATTATTTAATTTTCACATTTCAGTTTAAATAAAGTTTAGAAAATATTGATATAGACGAAATAGACTTCATCCAACCATATTTTTACGTTTTTGAAATTCGAAATTCGAAAAAGTAAAAAGCCCCGTCGTCATCCGCCCACCCAAAAACAGACACTAAAACACTACAAAATTTTCATGATAACAAATGCCCAAGGTGGCAACACTGAATATTGTACCGTCAACAGTTAAGGTGAAAAGACAACACCCTGTCAGCTTAATTTATGACATTCCGGTGCATCTGCTTGTCTTCATTGGCCAAGTGTCTGTGACAAAATCACATTCACTGGCTGTCCTCTTAGATAAATCACAAGAATGAACACATTTTATTGGACATGGAATAAAACAATCTATTGGACCTGATTGGGCAAGCAAGCATTAAATCACACAAAAGAACAGGCTGATACTAGTGCCCATTATTCGATTCCTTTCCCTTCCCTCCTATTGTCCACTATTGTTTCGGTTCAATTTGTTACAGGTCGGTTTGGTTTTGTTGTGGAGATTTGTAAATTCAGCATCAAAATTGGGCAAAATCCATAACAAATTGCACTTGTCTAATGTTTGTTATTTAATTACTGTTGCAAGAAAAACCTGCTGGGACACTACTTTAAGTTTTGCAGCCCTTACCAGAATCTAGAATGCTTCATCTGGGGTTCACAAAAAAGTGTTGGGGGCTAAAACCATTCAACCCATCAAAGTTATTTTAAGCTCATGACAACACACACACAAAATAGATTTGTGTATTAATAATAAAAAAGTATTTGACCAGGAAAATACATTTAGATTGCTCAGGTTTCCAAGTACACCATTGGGATGTTACTTTTACCCAATTTAATGGTACTCATCTTATCTACTTTGGAATGATGAAGGGCTGAGTCAACCCTGCCAGCATTTGAACCTGCAGTCTCTAAGAGTAGAACAGATTCTACTGATGAGGCATTAGCCCAGGGGCGTACCTAGAGCATTTGGCACCCGGGGCGGATCCTGAGCTTTGCATCCCCCTCACCCCCTAAAAAAAACCTGTAACTTTTTTTTTTAATGTATTGAACAAATTTGGAAATTTTGCAAAACCGCTGTCAGCCCCCTTCTACAAAACCCTTGTGTGTCCCACCCCCTCCTACAAAACCCCTGTCCCGCCCCGTCTACAAATCCTGTACTGCCCCGTCTACAAAACCCCTGCAACCCCCATCTACAAATCCCCTTATAAAGACTCCTGTCCCAATACAAAATCCCTGCAGCCTCACACACACATTTACAGGCAGACAGTCACACACACACACACAGTTAAAGGCAGACAGTCACACATACAGTCAGAGACAGTCATGCACACAGTTACAGGCAGACAATCACATATATATTCACACACACACACACACACACGCTCACAGGCAGACAGTCACACACACACAGTAAAAGGCAGCAGCAGACAGTCACATGCACACAGTCACAGACAGTCACACACGGTTACAGGCAACATCAAACAGTCACAGGCAGACAGTCACACATACATAGTCACATGCAGACAGTCACACAGTCACACACACAGTTACAGGCAGACAGTTATACACACAGTCAGTTACAGGTAGTCACACAGAGTCATATACAGTCACACACACACACAGTCACAGGCAGAGAGTCACACACACATACACAGTTACAGTCACACACACAGTTACAGGCAACATCACACAGTCACAGGCAGAGACACACACACACACAGTTACAGGCAGACAGACACACACACACACACACACACACACACAGTTACAGGCATGCAGTCACACACACACACACACACAGTTACAGGCATGCAGTCACACACACACACACACACACACACACACATACATAGTTACAGGCATGCAGTCACACGCAAAGACACACACACACAGTTACAGGCAGACAGACACACACACACAGTTACAGGCATGCAGTCAAACACACACACATGCACAGTTACAGGCAGACAGTCACACACACAAAGCTACAGGCATGCAGTCACACACACACATACACAGTTACAGGCATGCAGTCACACACACAGACACACACACACAGTTACAGGCATGCAGACACACACACACAAACACAGTTACAGGTATGCAGACACACACACAAACACAGTTACAGGCATGCAGACACACACACAAACACAGTTACAGGAAGACAGTTTTACAGACACAGTCGCACACACTATTACTTACAGACAGGAGCTGGAGAAGGAGTGGATGCACTGGAGTCCTCCTGAAACCTGTTAGGTGGAGAGGTAGGGATTCCTTCTTGCTGCAGCCTGCACCTCCATGTGCAGCAGTAACAGCAGCGGGTAAGGGCCATATTAAGCCCCGTCCCTTCTGCCGATTTGGCTCCGCCGCCAATTCTGCTTAGCCCCGCCCCCACTTTCCTTCCGTGCGGCCAGTTCAGCTGCTCTTTCGTGTGTGAGCTGTTCTGGCCGCCCGGCACCCTAACTACTATGGGGCACTGTGCGGCCACAGCTCACACAGCCCCCACACCAGGGTCAAACTCATGGTACCCCCCACCCAGTGTCACCCGGGGTGAACCGCCCCCTCCGCCCCCCCCTTAGTACGCCACTGCATTAGCCCACTGAGCTATCTCACTGGTAGTAGTTACAACATAGGTGCAATTTTTCCCTGTAATAAATAGTTAATAATGTTCAAAATACACCTAGAGAAAGAGAGAAGAGAGAGAGAGAGAGAGTGTGTGTGTGTTTTGTTATGGGACATGAATAAACTGGTCTGCCAAAGATAAGTGGAACTTGCACTCCTGGCCCTGAGTGGCATCTGTCTTCTTTTTAATAAAATGACTCCCACTATTTGTAGGCAGTACAAGGACATGTCTGCCCTGCATCACTTTAAAGGAACACTCCAGACCCCTAAAGCACTTTAGCTTGTTGAAGTGATTTATTTGTGAAGAGTGTGTTCTATTTTTTTCATTTTACAAAAATTCCAGATTTCAATAGAAATTAGCACTTTTAATAATAAACTTTGTTACACCCGCTGGCTTTAAGGCAGATTGTTATTTTTTGTTT